GCTGGGCAACACAGTTTGGAATGACAGTCCTCTACCTGACAATTTTACTTCAGGACCTGCCTGAGGCATCACGTGCATAATTGCTTTTGTCTCTTGGTAAATTCTCTTTGCACAGATGGTCCGACAGGGTTAGTTTAGTGTCTCACCTGCAGCACTGGAAAGAGATGTGAAGCAAAGGAGCATGGCTCCCTCTCTGAACACCATTTCTTTTGATGTGAATCCTTCCCGCACCACTTCAAGCTTTGTGGAGAATCTACCAAACTCGGGGAGAAGTGGTGCTTCTTGCGTATTGGGCAAATATGTTTTTATTAGATTTCTAGCAATACCTAGTAGTTGACTTCTAGGTGAATACATCCTCAGTGTGTGCAACTTTGTGGCTTTCCATCCCACCTTCTCCGGTGTCTCTGTAATCTCCATTCTGAATCATTTTGCTCCGTCAATACTTTGGTTACTTTAAAGCTTAATTATTTCTCTCTCTCTGACTTCTTTTTGCTGAGAAATTACTAGGAACATGAAACTCCAGACAACTTAAGCTTTTAAGGCTTTGCTGTCAAGTTAATTTGTGTATCATGGAATTATAGAGGCTGCTCTTTTTCAAAGAAGTCATGTATAAATACTTACAAATATACTTAAGTCCTTGCTTACAGTTACAAAAAAAAAATCCTAAGCCTTAAATAATTTGACTGTGAAATGAAGCTATTTAGGTTAAAATTGAATTCTTACCTCTGAATGAATCTATTGCTATGTTTGATTGCCAATAAAACGGAGGCACATTAACATGATAGTTAATGCCACTGGTTGCGTTTTATTTTAAATAAACCAACATTCCTTTGTTAAGTGGGTACACAATTTCTTTAAAAAGTATGTAACATGGAGAGGAAAACTCATTAGCAAAATACAATGGTTTGCAAAAAGGCTTTGACATTTCTGAACTTTAAAAAGTACACTACCAAGGACTGGGAAAGGATATCAAGCTCCAAGGCCAAAGAATCCACTGCATATTCATCTTCTTTATCAAAAAAGTTGATTGGGGCACTAAAGACAAAAAAATTAACCTGTTGTGTAATAAGAGGGAAAATGCATGGGAAATTTCATGACATGATAGGAGGATGTTACTCTAGGAAATGAGATCTACTGGTCCTGACTCTGTTACCAACGAGCATGGAAATTTTAGCTTGGAATTCCAACCCTAAGGGCCTGAATTTTCCCATTTACAATATGCTCCCACCCTCTAGGATTTTTTCCATGTGAGAAACAGAATCTCAGAGTTATTTTGTAACTTAACCAAGGTGGCAGAAGACAGACAATGAGTTTGAAAACCTCCTTTCAAACATTACTGCAGTTTTGGCTCCCAAAGGAACTGTTTTCTTTTTTTACAGAGATGTCCTATGAGCATTTTTACCCAGCTGCTATCCTTGAAGAAAAGAGAGTAAACGTGTTCTAACTTACAGGAAGCTGAAAATGACCATTTAAAAAAAAATCTATATAAAGGTGGAAATTCATCTACTGGTCTCTGTGTTTGTCATTTCTTCTGAAAGCCAGACTTTAAGGGTAGCCTGATTTAGCATTCTTAATATGGGAGAGGATTTAGGCAACAGACTGTCTGCCTTTAAGATGAGAAGTCCACTGAGTATGAAGGGAATCTATGATTTCAGATCGTTGCCCTTGAGTTTTCCTGACACGTATTTCGAAACTTTGTTCTGTTTCCTACTGTCACTGCTAGAATACAAGCACATTCCTTTCTGCTCACGTTTTGCAGTGTCATCAGCCTGCGAGCATGTGCTTAGTCTGAGTCAAGGCTTCTCCCAGGGAGATATGGAGGAGGGCTGTCTGGAGGCTATGGAGAGATGCTTAGGCTGGGGCTAGGCTGCTCAGAATCGCTCACAAAGTTCCGGCTCTGTAAAGTTCACTGGAAGACTCAAGTCCAGCACACAGTTTCTAGGAATTAATCCCAAGGATCATAAATTTAATCCTCAGACATCTGCAGATGGGCTGGATTGGTTTAACTGGAGTAAGACACTGTAGGGCAGCAGATATATGCAGATTATTAGGCTTTTAAAACCCTCAACTCCTACCTACCTACACCTACAATGGATTCAATCAAAAAACCTAAACTTAAAGCTTTCCGATTTAGAGGGAAAGATGGTAATTCATATGGATTGAAAATAAATTTCTTTCACTTATAAAAGGAGTTTTCAGAAAGGGGAAATCTACCGAGCTCAAGATCAATCACAGCGAACTATTTTGATACACTAATGAGGTAGGGTGTGTGTAGTTTAGTGGTCTACTGCTTGCACAGCACAGATGAGACTCTACATTTGATTCCCTTTCCTTCCAGAAAGGAGTAAAAACCAACATACAAGAACTTTAGATACCCAGTTTTGAAAAGAGAGAGCAACTAAGGGATACATAAAGGCAATTCGGTACCCAAGTAGCATAAAATATCAACATCCTCATTCCCAACACTTATTTCATGAATGACCATTATGTTTTATAGATTACACTGTCATTTTTTCCTGTTTCTTTTTTCCTCCTCAATGAATCAAGCATTGTTTGTTTTTGTTTTTGTTTTTGTTTTGTTTTGTTTTAATGCAGTAAGCGTTGTAGTCCTCATTTTTGTCTCCCAAGCAAGATGCTATTAGGGGTCAAATCCCAAGTACGGAGAAAACAACCTTCATGGATAATCATGATAAAACCTTATGGAATGCAAAAACAACCAAAATATGTATTCTCAGATGACTGCATTAGAGCCAAGTCAATATTAGTCCCACTTCACCCACGCACTGCATAGTCTAAAAATGTTGTCAGGCTGATAAGAATTTCCTGACTTATTCTTTCTTCCAATAGAAAATATAGGTCATCAAAATAAACTCTGACAGTGAAAGAACAGTAGCGACACTGTCGGCTCTCTCTGGTCCATTAGCCAATAAGAGTCAAGTAGTTTGTTTGCTGGAGAAAAATTTAAACATCAAATAAGCCAAATAGCCAAAGAATTATGAATGTTCCCCTATACACCTCTCAACTAAACCCTTCCAGTAAACTCAGCAAACGTCTACTTAAAAGAGAAGTTCAGACTATAGCAGAAGCCGGGCATTGTGTGACTTCTTAACGCAGACAGTTTAGACTCTTCTGGTGTTTTATTTTTAATTCATTTGTCAACTTGTTGATAGTTTTACCAAAAAGATGGAATTTGGGGTTGAAACTTAAGGCTATCACAAAATAAGACAAGGTGCTTGGAGCTGGTTCTCAGGGAAAACTAGCTTTCAGTTTGTCTAAAACAGCCTTTGATTTTTTTTTCCCCCGGAAAGTGTATTACAATGCTGACCTCTACTATAGACTCCTATTTTAGTGGAATTTATTTTATCATTTCATCAGAGGCAACCTTATTCACAGCTTCTACTATTCCTGACTTTTTCAGAAGAGAAAGTTATCTTCCTGAATATTTAAAAACATCTCGGTCTGTTGCTCATCCACATTCCAACTGATAATTGAAGGCCTCTACTGCCTCAACGATGGAGCAATGGCTGTTAGTAATACCCAAAGTCTCTTGGCCTCCCTTGAATCTACAATAGCACTATTTTGTTTATGTCAAAGGAAATGTGAGCAGCCCCAATGTTTTCATTTGTCACCCGTGACCACAAAATAATAATAAAAAAATGCTTGTCCATCTCTCCCATCAAAGATCATTTTGTTTTGAACTGGTAAAGTTGTCAAATGTTAAATAAATTAATTAATTAATATTAGCAAGAAAGTGGGCTCTTCTTGCATGTCTCCTGTTGGTCTTCATTAAGATGGACTGTTTAGCGGTAAGTCCCGAATTTGTGCCCTTTCCGAGTTAGCTGAATTTGACAGCCACTACATTTTAAACATAGAGTAATAGTCTCTTTCTCAACAAGTAGCCCTGTACATGTAGAAAAGGGACAGAGGCAAAGGAAAACTAGGAATTCAAAGGTCAGATTCCTCCATGGGCCAAACCCTGAAGGCCAGAATAAAACAAACAGTCCCTAAGAAATGAAAACAAGTCAATAAATTCTGTAAATCCTTATTTTTCTAACTATATCTAGCTTATTTTTAAGTCTGAATGAAATTAGCCTACTCTAATCCCTGTAGTCCAGGAAGGCCTCTGTTTCAGTACAGTACCTGGCCACACACACACACACACACACACACACACACACACACACACACACGGTTTACTGTTCTTAGGGTAGCGCTAACTAAATTTTGGTGTGCTTGCTATGTGGCCGAAGAATACCACTCAAGGTTCCCTGGTGTCACGTTTTCCAGTGTCTACTCTTTCTTATCATCTCTTAGATGCCAGGTCCTTTTTACTGATAGTTTAAATGTCCTCTCTGGGTGAAGCCCTGGAATGCGGATTCTCAAAGCTACCTCTGGACCGAGAAACACAGGTCCGGTCCGCTGACGGACACCAACAAGCCCCGTGCTTTGTTGGGGAATGAATGAAGAGCCTTTTGGGCAACCACGTCATCTAAATCACAGTCCCGGTGAGAAACGCGACGGATAAATTCTAGAAACACTCAGTGTGTCTTCTATCAGACCAGAGATCCACCCTACAAGTCTCAGAAAGAAAATTTCATGAGCTCACTGTTCAGGTAACTTCTGCTACCTTAGCAGTACACTTCCCCTTTTCCCAGAAAACAAAGTAGTCGGGTTAAAAGTTTACTCACGCAGTCCTAAAACAGATGCCTTTGGTGAGTTTCAAAGAACTGAGTCCTAAGGACCAGATCAGCTAGGAGCGACAGCCTCTGAGTCCAGGTGACACAGCTCAAAGAAGCCCCCGGCCAGGTAATGCCCCTCCAGGCATCCTGGCCCTGCCACCCGCAGGTCTGCCCTTCTATCTTTTTTTCTTTCTGTGGCTCCGCGCAGGTCCCAGAGCATCCTCCGAGCCTCGGGTCCCGGCGGGACAGGGCTAAAGCCCCACACCGATACCGGGTGCCCCTCGTCCCCGCCCCCGGGAGGCTGCCCGGCCGGTGACTCACCTGCTGGCCAGGTTGGGGCGCCGGATGATAGCAGGCTGTGGGGCAGGTTGCAGCTGCCACGGGGTTGGGCAGATACTGGGGCGCTCCATACGGCTGGGGGTGATACATCACCTCCGCACAACTCATGGCAGCGGGGCCAGCGGCGGCCCCGGAGTCGCCGCGGTTCTACGCGCCGGCGCGAGGGGCGCCACCGCCACCGCCGCCGCAGTTGCTGTCCGCGCCGCTGCTCCTGCTGCTACTGCTGTGAAGGCGGGTCCTCGGCGGCCTCGGGCTCCACGCCGGGAGCGAGCTCGGGAGGGGTTGGCAATCAGCGGCGGCCCATGCGCGGGCACCTTCATTTTCAGCCCCTCCGGGTGCCCCCTCCACTTGCGCTTATATAGCGACGCGACCACGCTGCCGCCCGCCCCGCGGCAGGAGCATGACAGCGTTGGACTCTGTCTCTGGCGGCGGCACCAGTGGCAGCAGCAAGTACCGCAGCGCCAGCCACAGCCGCAGCAGCAGCCGAGCCACGGCTCGAGCTGCCCCGGGAGCCCGGCGAAGCTTTGCATACACACAATGCACGCCCGGGGCTCGTCCTATCACCACCGCGGGTGGCTGGGCGAGGACCGGGAGGCGGGGGAAGGAGAGCCGGAATGTGGGGAGGCGGGGAGCTTCCCTCCCCAACTCTCCCGAGCAGTTTATCAGCAAAGTTACACCAACTCCAGTCCACAGCGGGCGAGTCGCCCAGCAGGGGGACCCTGGGGAGGGCAGCAGCGGATTGGAGCGAAGTTTGCTGCCCTCTCCGCCTCCCGGCGAGCGATGATGGTGGGAGGAGATTGGTATGCGAGAGGCTCCGCGCCCACAAAACTCTGCGGGTCCCCACCCAGTCTCGGTCACCTGGCTGGGCCAGGGTTGCCCAAGTCCTAGGAACTTTTTCACGGAGCATCAAGTCCGACTCTGATTGGACAAGATCAAAGAAAGGTCAAGGGTAATGAGAGTTATAAAGCAGACCAGGGTTAAAATACAGAATTGGTTCCTACGTTAAAAAAAAAAACAAAAACAAAAACAAAACCGAAGTGAAAGTTAGCATTGCCTCGAGTGCCCACAAGCCAACAAAGCGTAATTCCCTTGCCTCATCTTCACTTGAAAGGCATATCTTGGTGGCTTGTCGTCCTGACAGGATGTGTGTCCTTTTCTGGCATTTACCGCCTGCCTTGCAGGCAGCAAAAGAATAACTGGTGACTTATTTGACTGCGATTTAAAGGTGTTTGTGTGCAAATGGATTAAACCTTGCAAAAATGGAATAAAAACTCCATTTTTCAGAATAATATTATACTCCAGTATAATCATAAAATCTAACTCAATCTTTCCCTCTCTAGCAAACGGAAAATTTTGTAAGAGAGACCAAAAGGCATAGTCTTTTTTAAAAGGAACTGTCCCATTGGGTGTCAAATGCATTAATGTTGTCATCAAGTAAAACATACCCACACAGAGAGAGAGAGAGAGAGAGACACCAAACCTACACTCTGAAGCCATTATACCCCGCCACCACCACCTCTGTACCTCTGTACCTCTGTATCTGTGTACCTCTGTACCTCTGTACCTCTGTATCTCTGTATCTCTGTAACTCTGTACCTCTGTACCTCTGTATCTCTGTACCTCTGTATCTCTGTACCTCTGTACCTCTGTGTCTCTGTATCTCTGTACCTCTGTATCTCTGTACCTCTGTACCTCTGTGTCTCTGTATCTCTGTACCTCTGTACCTCTGTACCTCTGTATCTCTGTACCTCTGTATCTCTGTATCTCTGTACCTCTGTATCTCTGTACCTCTGTACCTCTGTACCTCTGTATCTCTGTACCTCTGTACCTCTGTACCTCTGTACCTCTGTATCTCTGTACCTCTGTACCTCTGTACCTCTGTACCTCTGTATCTCTGTATCTCTGTACCTCTGTACCTCTGTACCTCTGTATCTCTGTACCTCTGTACCTCTGTACCTCTGTACCTCTGTACCTCTGTATCTCTGTATCTCTGTACCTCTGTACCTCTGTATCTCTGTATCTCTGTATCATCTCTGTACCTCTGTACCTCTGTACCTCTGTACCTCTGTACCTCTGTACCTCTGTACCTCTGTACCTCTGTGTCTCTGTGTCTCTGTATCTCTGTATCTCTGTACCTCTGTACCTCTGTACCTCTGTACCTCTGTGTCTCTGTGTCTCTGTGTCTCTGTACCTCTGTATCTCTGTGTCTCGTACAGTTACCTAAAGAGGTGGCACGTGCAATTATTTGTGTACACACAGCTGTACCACACACACACTCACCCAAACTATGATTGTGTTTGGTACTTTTACTATCCCAAAACAGGTTTTCTTCATCCACTCATTATTTTATTAACAGAATTTTAAAGTACAATTATTGAGAGGCTATGTAGTTTAGACTCCACACTGTGTTCTTTCCGGTAGGAGACTATGCCTATCAAGGAATAACAGAAGAACTTGCTTTATATGTTCATAACTCCTTTGTCCCAACTTGATATGCCTTAGTTAGACCCTTTTTCCTGTGATCCCCACTCATTGCTTCTGTCCAAGAAGCTTCACATAGTACAGAGCCATAAGAGCATCCATCTAGCCGGGCACGCCTTTAATCCCAGCACTCGGGAGGCAGAGACAGGCAGATCTCTGTGAGTTCGAGACCAGCTTGGTCTACAGAGCTAGTTCCAGGACAGGCTCCAAAGCCACAGAGAAACCCTGTCTCAAAAAACCACAAAAAAAAAGAGCATCCATCTACCCATATCCCAATTTGAACATCTCTTTCGTGTCTACCATAAAGAGCGAAACTCATGCCTCCCAGTTGTACTTGGAGTACCATTGAAGCTCCAAACATTTGTCTTCTCAAAGTGCTTCCCCATGGGCTCTAACTTTAGTACATTCTAAATTTTACATTCCTTCTAATGTTCTTGCTCTCCTGCTTATCTCTGTTGCTGTAATCCTTAGTTCATTTAGACCCTCTCATTCAGACTCTCAGATGAACTTCGTTACTGTTTTCCCAGACCCATAGTCAGACATCTTCAGACCTAGTCTTCAGGACCCACATTCCAAAGATGATCCAATGGAGGCCTGAAACTTTCTCATAGTTTCAAAAGTAGTGTCTCACATTCCATAGTCCCAATTCTGTAACCTCCACCTCTGACTCCTACTTTTGCCACCCTCTCTGCATTCAAACAGATCTCTGAATGGGTGAAACCCTTATTTTAAGAAAGAACATGGCTCTAAAACTCTGCATTTAGATTGGTTGTGATTTTCTGAACTTGTTTCTGGTGTGGGAAGTCCTTCTGTATTGCTTTTATTGGTTAATGAATAAAGAAGCTGCTTTCAGCCAATGGCTTAACAGAATATATATATATATATATATATATATATATATATATATATATTCTCTCTCTCTCTCATAGAAAGAGAGAGAGAGAGAGAGAGAGAGAGAGAGAGAGAGAGAGAGAGTAGGTGGAGTCAAGGAACTGCCATGGAGCCCCCAAAGGTGAAAGATGCGAGCTGCCAGCTGGAATTTTCCAGATAGGCCATGAGCCTTGTCGTAAAATATAAAATAATGGAAATGGGTTAATTCTAGATGTAAGAGCTAGCTAACAATATGCTTAATCTATTGGCCAAATAGTATTTCAAATAATATAGTTTTTGTCTGATTATTTCTGGCAAGGGGAAGTGAACTAGTGGTCTCTTACTACCGATTTCCATGATGAGGGATAAAGACTGTACTTAACTGTGTCTATAAGGACAAAATTTTATAGTTTGTTGCTAGGGATTATGCTGGTTTAGTAAAGTAAGTGTGTGTGTGTGTGTGTGTGTGTGTGTGTGTGTGTGTATGCGCATGAAATAGCAATTAGTGGAAAGAAGAGGCCATGAATTTGAAAGAGACTGGGAAGGGCATATGGGAGATATGGAAGGAGAGGGGAAATGCAGTTGTGTTATAACCTTAAAGTGGGCGAGGGGTGAAAAAGGAGCTTGGTGTCTCCTACTATCATTTCTCTTCTGCTATCAACAGCCATCCACCCCCATCTTCCACACTTGCTAACTCTTCCTAGTTCTCAAAGGATTCGTATCTTAAAATAGTCAATGCTGAACAGTTTTACCATCTCCCATCGCAGCCACAGCTGCTTCAGTGCAAGAACACATGGATCCCCAAAAAATGCAATGGTTGGCTTAATAAGCATCTACTGTATAAGGTATTTAAGACAGAAAAAGAAACTTCAGAATAATTTATAAATTAAAGAGAGATCAGAGGGCACCTGGGATCAGTGAAGATTATGATGTGGAGCATGGTTTCAGATTGTCCATGTTTTCTCTTATGTGAAAAATAAGAGAAAGTCCTTACAATGTGAGAAATTTTAAGACCAGAGGACCAAATGACTGAAGTAGAGAAAGAAGCTTACACTCAAGAGCATCTTCCCCTCAAGGTCAGACATCATGCCATCAATCTGAACAGCTCCAACTTCTACTTCAATGCCATAGTGTACCTCAGTTAATTAGTTTTTGCAAAGTGATATGCTAAATATCTGTTTCTTCTACAGGGCAGCTACTGAAACCGATTGACTCATTTACCCCAAAATGAAAATTTAAAGGTGTTCAGCATGTGTGTTTTCTAATAATATAAAACCAGAATATATTTCAAACTGCTATGCCTTCTGTGTGCTTTAGTATGTGTGGTGGCTTGAATGTTTAGTCAGCGGGGAGGGGAATTATTTGAAAAATTAGGATTAAGAGATGTGTACTTTTGGGGGAAAGTAAGTCACTGGGATTGGGCTTTGAGATATAAAGTCCATGCTGGGTCCAGTAGCTCTATTTGCCTGCAGATCCGAATGTAGCTCTCAGCTACTGCTCCAGCACCATGCCTGCCTTCATGCTTCCATGCTCCCCACTTTGAGGATAATGGACTAAACCTCAGAAACCATAAGCTCCCAATTAAATACTTTCTTTTTTAAGAGTTGCCATGGTCATGGTGTCTCTTCACAGCAACAGAACACGGACTCAAGACTGTGCTATAAATATTCACCACGGGAAAGAATACTTTTTGGTACTAAAAAAGGCCATTGCTGGATGTGTTTGCCAAATATTCATACAAGGAAATAACTCTTTGGTGATATTTTATTTCTATTTTCTAGTGATAGCAGAGAAAATTAGTAAAAAAGTAAATTATGTCCAGAATTAGAATCTAGACGAAAAATGGATCAGGAAGTAAGAAATAGAAATAAGCTGAACAAAATGGTAGTCTTCACTGGCTTGTTAGTAAAAAAATGAATGAATGAATGAATGAATGAATGGGGTGACTCCGGTTAAGAAATTCAAAGTGTCATTGGTTTATAGCAATTTCTTTCATAGATAAAAAAGCCTGTGATCTGATGCAGGTCTTCTAGGGGCTAGGAGCAGAACTGACACTGAAAGAGGCCGAGAACTCTGAGTGCTTGTGTCATTTGCTTTCCACCGTTGTA